ACTGTTCTTTATTTTAACTCTTTGATTTTAACGTGATTGTACTATGTTCACCATGTCCATGTCTACCTTTTTCATGATCCATGAGATCTAATAAATTCAATATTGCATTCACTAATTTAGTGATATATTACTCTGCATAGGATTTAATATAAACCATCTTTTAGGTGGGTTTGCACTAGTCAACTGCCATTTTGTGTTTCTAAGCTTGATTTTATACACCTGTGGCCATGCACACAGACTAAATAATAATAATAAACACTGATTTGGGTTATTTTTACCAAAGAAATGTAACCAAATACATTTTGGTGTAAATTTTATGAAAAAAGACCTTTTTTGTTTGCAAAATGCTATAACAGAAATGAAGAAAAATTGTTTTTTTTCTTATCTTTTTTTCCACACAAATTGCTAATTAAAAAAAAATATTAAAAAGCTAATTTAAATTTTTGGTACAGTGTTGTATGACTGTGCAATTGTCATTCAAGGTGCATTGAAAGCTGAAAATTGGCCTGGGCGGGAAGGGGGTGAAAGCGCCCAGTATTGAAGTTAACCACTTGCCTCCAAATCATGTACATGTGTGAAGCTCTACACTGTAAAATCAATCCTATCGGCAGATCGATTTTATTGGCAACAGGAGACGTTTTTGAAAAAAAAAAAAAAGTTAATGCTGTTTTAAAACAAACCTCACCTACGCTCTTTCTTTATACAAACTGTTTTAAAACCTTGCAAAAAAAAGTGCCCAGGCAGCACCCAAAATAATTTCAGAAAGTAGACATTCCAAGGTGCACTGATTTCTTTTTTTTTTTTTTTTTGGAAATGAAAAAATATGCTGGTATTGAGGGGACATGGACCGTGTCGATTGAAATTAAGTCAGCAGCTACAAATACTGTACCTGCTAACTTTTAATATAAGGGCACTTACCTGTCCAGGGATCCAGAGATGTCCTCACCGAGCTGATTCTTCAGTCGGCTTCAGGTGCAGGCGCCGACATCTTAGGTAAGGGAAGCCAGCAGAGAAACCTTCCAGCTTCACAGCCGGTTTTCTACTGCACATACACAAGCCGCGCTGCACTTTGTGATTTGTCCCGCAGTCTCCTGGGGCCTGTTGAGGCCAGGTACCTTAACACCCCCCACTCCAAAAATAAAGTGGCAAATGTGGCAGTGGAAGGGAGGGGGGATGAAAACAAGCAGAACATCCTCTGTAAGGTGAAGTTCTGCTTTAACTATGGGAAACAGGCTAACATTGTATGTTCACAAATACTTTACAGTTATAACTATCCAGGCACCATAACAGCTTTTGTTTAGTTTCAGAAGTGATCTTTCTTACTTTTTTTTCTTTTTCTTTTTTTTACAAGGTGACCATGCATCTCTTCTTCCTGGTAGTGGGTGTGGTTACAGGACACTGTGCAGACACACCTTGTGCCTCTGTTCAGTCTGAGCCAAGATGCAAGTTGAGCAGGTGGCAGGTTCAAGAGGCAGACTGTGATTGGTCGGGGAGATGGTGGCTGAACAAACTATCCAATACAGGCATGCAGTGCGTCTGTACAGTGTACTGTACCTCTGAATCTCCAGCCAAAAATGAAAACTGACCACACAAACCCTGGTTTACATATATAGTACAGTGAAGGAAATAAGTATTTGATCCCCTGCTGGTTTTGAATGTTTGCCCACTCACAAAGAAATGATCGGTCTAAAAATTGAATGGTAGGTGTATTGCAACACTGAGAAACAGATTAGCAACAAAAAATTCTAAAGTAATGCATGTCTAACAAATGATACACTGATTTGCATGTTCATGAGGGAAATAAGTATTTGATCCCCTTCACAAAACATGACTTAGTACTTGGTGGCAAATCCCTTTTTGGCAATCACAGAGGTCAGACGTTTCCTCTAGTTGGCCACCAGGTTTGCACACATCTCAGGATGGATTTTGGCCCACTCCTCTTGGCAGATTCTCTCCAAGTTATTAAGGTTTAGTGGCTGACGTTGGGCAACTCGAACTTTCAGCTCCCTCCACAGATTTTCAATCGGATTAAGGTCTGGAGACTAGGCCACTCCAGGACTTTAATGTGCTTCTTCTTGAGCCACTCCTTTGTTGCCTTGGCCGTGTGTTTTGGGTCATTGTCATGCTGGAACACCCTTCCATGACCCATTTATAATACCCTGACTGAGGGAAGAAGGTTCTCACCCAAGATTTGATGGTACATTGCCACGTCCATCGTCCCTTTGATGCGGTGCAGTTGTCCTGTCCCCTTAGCAGATGAACACCCCCAAAACAGAATGTTTCCACCACCATGTTTGACAGTTGGGATGGTGTTCTTTGGGTCATAGGCAGCATTCCTCCTCCTCCAAACACGGCGAGTTGAGTTGATGCCAAAGAGCTCGATTTTTGGTCTCATCTGACCACAACATTTTCAACCAGTCCTCCTCTGCATCATTCAGATGTTCAGTGGCAAACTTCAGACGGGCCTGGACATGTGCTTTCTTGAACCAGAAACGATTTCTCCTGCGCTCCGGGACCCAGGCCGGTGGTGAGTAGATGGGAAAAATACTCCAGAGAGGCAACCACCGGAGTATCCAAAGTCGTGCAGCTCCAAACCAAGGCTGGGGAAGCACGAACAAACTGTGAAGTGAAACAACAAGAAGCGCACCAACCTTGTGCATTACCTCAGTAACCAAAATTTATTAAATGAAGGAATGGTACTCACAAACAGCGGATAAAAACAGGCATGCAAGTCCACCAAGGGACTTCAAACGCAAGAGACCAGCGCGAATCCCATCATGGGTGTAGGTACTCAGTCCAGCTGACGCGTTTCGAAGGTCAAGCCTTCTTCCTCAGAGCTCAGAGGAAGAAGGCTTGACCTTCGAAACGCGTCAGCTGGACTGAGTACCTACACCCATGATGGGATTCGCGCTGGTCTCTTGCGTTTGAAGTCCCTTGGTGGACTTGCATGCCTGTTTTTATCCGCTGTTTGTGAGTACCATTCCTTCATTTAATAAATTTTGGTTACTGAGGTAATGCACAAGGTTGGTGCGCTTCTTGTTGTTTCACTTCACACATGTGCTTTCTTGAGCAGAGGAACCTTGCGGACACTGCAGGATTTCAATCCTTGTCGGCGTAGTGTGTTACCAATTGTTTTCTTGGTGACTGTGGTCCCAGCTGCCTGGAGATCATTGACAAGATCCTCCTGTGTAGTTCTGGGATAATTCCTCACTGTTCTCATGATCATTGACACTCCACGAGGTGAGATCTTGCATGGGGCACCAGACCTAGGGAGGCTGAACAAGTTGAAGCTTTGCAGGCCATACATGGGTTGAATTCTGAAGGAATTTTAGAAAATTGGAAATTGTGTGTTTTTTGTAACAATTGATTTCAAAATTTGACCAACCAAGCCTTCAATTTTCACATTGTGTTGCTATAAAAAAGAAAGTTTGTGGCTGGGAATCTTTTCTTCTTCCTGCCTTCTTTCCTTTTTTCTTCTTTTCCTTTTTTCTTTTTTTCTTCTTTTCCTTTTTCCTTTTTTTCTTCTTTTCCTTTTTTCTTTTTTTCTTCTTTTCCTTTTTCCTTTTTTTTCTTCTTTCCTTTTTTCTTCTTTTCCCTTTTTTCTTCTTTTCCCTTTTTTCTTCTTTTCCCTTTTTTCTTCTTTTCCCTTTTTTCTTCTTTTCCCTTTTTTCTTCTTTTCCTTTTTTCTTCTTTTCCCTTTTTTCTTCTTTTCCCCTTTTTTCTTCTTTTCCCTTTTTTCTTCTTTTCCCTTTTTCTTTTCCCTTTTTTCTTCTTTTCCCTTTTTCTTTTCCTTTTTTTCTTCTTTTCCTTTTTTTTGCTTCTTTTCCCTTTTTTCTCCTTTTCCCTTTTTTCTTCTTTATTTCTTTTTCTGCTTCCTTTTCTTTCTTCTTTCTTTCCCCGATTTTATTTATTTTTTAATATATATTTCTTGCACGATTCTCCCATCATTGATTAGAAATGGGTAAATGTTTAAAAAAATTTCCAACATGCCTGATCACTTAAATCCGATGGCCACACAGAAATCAGAAGATGCTGCGGCCCACTAATGGTGTGAAATTCGAACAAAAATTCTTGGGTCAAGTTCCAAATTAATTTTATTACGAACATAATAACTATGTATGCATAAGAAGCTGATTAGTTACTATGCACAGCTGTACCAGAGTGTGTGTGTACCAGTTTTAGTAAATCTCCCCCATTGTTTCCAGCTGTCTCTGGCAATGCTGATTCTCTATAGAGACATAGGTGACTGTTGTCACCCTAGTACAAGAAGTGCATTACTCTCCGCATCAATAGGTGAAAATAGTTATAAAAACCTGGAAAAAAAAAACCCTGAAGGAAAGCACTACATCTAAAGACTTAAGCAGATGCAAAACTTTTTTTTTTTCCCATTTCAGATCAAGTAAGGGAGGATTATAACCCCTATCAGCTTATTTTTTTTGCCATCTCTGTCCCATTGAGGAGATTTCTCTTTACTTCCTGTCCCATAGGCAGACAGGTAGTGAGATGAAATCTCCCATTGGAAGATTTCCCCTCTATTACTTTTCTAACAGGTGTTCTAATCCATCTCTTCTCTATCAAAAAAAAGTTTTGCCTTTTAGTTGTACATTAAAAGCTGCAGCATATTACATTCTTGTTTTTGGGTATAGATACACTTTAATGGAAAAGGGGTATTTATTTTTTGTTCATGCAGACAGAGAGGAGGTACAATTCAGTTATACCACTGAATATTTGAAAACAGAAACTTTTTACAGTGGTGCAAAAATATATATCTATGTGGGAGGATCAACACCTCTAAATTTTATAAATATTGCATGAAACCATTAAATATTTAATATGCCTTTTTTTTTTTTCTTATATATTTACTAGTAGGGTATTGGATTTCTGTAGGCGTGACGTACTTTCTGTGTGTCAGACAGGCCTTATGTTTGTTTCACTCTGATATTCTGCTATCACTTGATCTAAGTGTTTTTCAGACGAATTTATGTAGGCGTGTGCTTTTCAAGTGTAATATTGCTTCGATTCCATTTATATTACTGTATTTTTCGCTCCATAAGACGCACTTAGGTTTTAGAGGCAGAAAACAGGAAAAAAAATATTCTAAACCAATGGACTGCAGACATATTACAAGAGATGACCAGAGACTGCAGACACAGTACAGGAGATGACCAGAGACTGCGGACATAGTACAGGAGAGGACCAGAGACTGCAGACAGTACAGGAGATGACCAGAGACTGCGGACATAGTACAGGAGATGACCAGAGACTGCGGACACAGTACAGGAGATGACCAGAGACTGCGGACACAGTACAGGAGATGACCAGAGACTGCGGACACAGTACAGGAGATGACCAGAGACTGCGGACATAGTACAGGAGAGGACCAGAGACTGCAGACAGTACAGGAGATGACCAGAGACTGCGGACATAGTACAGGAGATGACCAGAGACTGCGGACACAGTACAGGAGATGACCAGAGACTGCGGACACATTACAGGAGATGACCAGAGACTGCGGACACAGTACAGGAGATGACCAGAGACTGCGGACACAGTACAGGAGATGACCAGAGACTGCGGACACAGTACAGGAGATGACCAGAGACTGCGGACACAGTACAGGAGATGACCAGAGACTGCGGACACAGTACAGGAGATGACCAGAGACTGCGGACACAGTACAGGAGATGACCAGAGACTGCGGACACAGTACAGGAGATGACCAGAGACTGCGGACACAGTGGGACCTTACCTGTTCCTCTATCCAGCGCCGCACTGTCTTCCCGGCTTCTGTAGTGTGGGGTGCTCGGTTGACAGCCGGGTGTCCAGTGCGCATGAGCGAGAAGCGCTGCGGTTTGTGATTGGTCTGGCGACTTCTGGTACCTGTCATATGTCCCAGGTGCCGCCTTACCATTCACAAAGTGCACCGCTTCTCACTCATTTGCACTGGACACCCGGCTGTCAAGCCCAGCGCCCACACTACAGAAGCCAGGAAGACAGCGCGGTGCTGGATAGAGGAACAGGTAAGGTCCCACTGCAGTGCTGAGTGGCCGGCCCTGTATTCTGACATGGCGGCGGTGGAAATACCAGACCGGCCGCTCCATATTTGCTCCATAAGACGCACTGACATTTTCCCCCCTTTTTTTGGGGGAAAAAAGTGCGTCTTATGGAGCGAAAAATACGGTATTTGATTTATTGGATTAAAACTTCAATCGGTCATTTTTTTAAAATTTTATTTATAATTTAATAAACAAATTGAGTGTTTACACACAAACTTCAGAGTAAAAAATTAAATATTACATTAACCACTTGCCCTCCTGGAAGACTTACCCCCCTTCATGACCAGGCCATTTTTGCGACACGACGTTGTTACTTTAACTGTAAATTTTATGTAATTTTGTTTTCCCCACAAATGGAGCTTTCTTTTGGCGGTATTTAAATCACCTCTGCAATTTTTTATTTTGGAAAAAACAATATTTGACTTTTTGCTATAAAACAAATCCAAGAACAAAATTAAAAAAACTGCTACATGTCTTTTTGGTAAAAAAAAAAAAAAAATTCCCAGTATGTGTATATTAATTAGTTCCTGTGACAGTTGTAGCATCTACAAATGGCCGTATATATACTAGAATTTTTTATATATTTGTATAATTTAATTTTAATACTAGTAATGGCGGCGATCAGCGGCTTAGCTAGCCTGAGGTGGATGTTCTAACACACTGGGTGAAAAAAGACTAACTGGCACTGATCACTGTACTAATGACACTGGGCAGGAAGGGGTTAACATCTGGGGCGATCAAAGGGTTATCTGTGTGCTGTTTTGTGCTTACTGTGTGGTGGGGACATGCTGCTTTACTATAGAGAGCAGCAAGTCCCCCCCTGACAGGAGAGAGACCTGTGTTGTTGTTATACTCAGATCTCTCCCCAGCCAGCTTCTCCAGCGATCATGGATCGCTGGCTGGGACCTGATGATTGACCTTCAGGAGCCAAATACAGCACGGGAAGGGTGGCTCACTCTTGTCCCTTACCCAGAAATGTGAAATCATGTATTTGTGGTATGCAATTTAGTTAGTATGTAAAGTATAAAGTAAAAGTAGGCGCAGCACAGTGGCTAAATGATTAGCACTTCCACCTGGCAGCACTAGGGTCATTGGTTCAAATCCCAACCATGGCACCACTTTCTTGGAGTTTGCATGTTCTCCCTGTGCCTGTGTGGGTTTCCTCCGGGTACTGTGATTTAAGGACCTTAGATTGTACACCCCTTGAGGGTTAGGGACTGATGTGAATGTTCTATCTATCTATCTATCTATCTATCTATCTATCTATCTATCTATCTATCTATCTATCTATCTATTTTTCCAGGTAAATATATTTCTAAAGGTGTTATTGAAATGAAATTTTCACCACATGTCGGTAACAACCCATGCAATCCGTACATACAGTTGGGTCCATATATATTTGGACAGAGGCACAATTTTCATACTTTTGTCTCTGTGTATGCCACCAGAATAAATTAAAACGAAACAATCCAAATGAATTTGAAGTGCAGACTTTCAGCTTTAATTCAAGGGGTTGAACATAAATATCAGGGGCTAAAATGTAATTGGACAAATTAATGTAGTCATAAATGTTCATTTTTAATATTTTGTTGAGAATCCTTTACTGGCAATGACTGCCTGGAGTTTGGAACCCATGGACATTAGAACCCAAAGATTGGGTTTCCTCCTTTCTGATGCTTTGCTAGGCTCTAACTGCAGCTGTCTTCAGTTCTTTGTTTGTGGGTCTTTCTGCCTTTAGTTTTGCCTTCAGCAAATTAAATGCATGCTCAATTGGGTTGAGATCAGGTGATTGACTCGGCCTTTGCAGAATATTCTACTTCTTTTCCTTGATAATCTCCTGTGTTGCTTCTGCAGTGTGTTTTGGATCATTGTCCATCTGTACTGTGAAGCACCGTCCAATCAACTTGGCTGCATTTGGCTGAATCTGGGCTGACAGTATATCTCTAAACACTGCAGAATTCATAAGGCTGCTTCTGTGTTCTGTCACATCAATAAAACACCAATGACCCAGTGCCATTGGAATCCATGCATGCCCATGCCATCACACTGCCTCTACCATGTTTTACAGATGACGTTGTGTGCTTTGGATCATGAGCTGTTCCAAGCCTTCTCCACACTTTTTTCTTCCCGTCATCCTGGTACAGATTAATCTTAGTTTCATCCGTCCAAAGAATGCTTTTCCAGAATTGGTCTGGCTTTTTTAGCTGTGTTTTGGCAAAGTCTAATCTGGCTCATCTATTCTTCACGGTTATGAATGGTTTGCACCTTGTGGTAAACCTTCTGTATTTGCTCTCGTGAAGTCTTCTCTTGATTGTAGACTTTGACAATGATACGCCCACCTCCTAGAGAGTGTCTTTCACTTGTCTGGATGTTGTAAATGGGTTTTTCTTTACCATAGAGATGATTGTGCGATCATCCATCACTGTTGTCTTCCATGGACATCCATGCCTTTTTTATGTTGCTGAGCTCACCAGTGCGTTCTTCTTTCCTCAGAATGTACCAAACTGTTGATTTGGCCACAATGTTGCTGCTATCTCTCTGATGGATTGTTTAGTGTTTGAAGCCTTACAATGGCCTGTTTCACTTGCATGGACAGCTCCTAACTGTATATGTATGTAAAGCGTTCTGTAAATTGACGGTGCTATATGGGTGCCTGTAATAAAGTATTCTTGAATATCTATATGCATTGGTAAAGATAAATAACCTGCTACAGTGCTCAGCATAAATGAGTATACACCAACAGATGCAGGACATTTATTGCAAACAAGAATTGTTTGCACACATGAAAAAACTATTTTTCCTAGCAAACTCATTCAAGACCATGTTGCAAAAATGAAAGTCTTAGGAGCAAAGCTACATTTTAGACAACAACATCCTATTTAATAAGAATTCAACTACAGTTGAGTCTAATTCATTAAACAGGTGTCCAGCAGACAGTTGATTATAAAAAGGGCATTACTTAACAAAGAAAACCCCTTCCCATTTTATGCTGTCAGCAATGGCACCACATGGAAGAGAAATGTCACAAGGCTTGAGAAAATAATTTCTTTACACAAGAAAGGTGAATCCTACAAGAAGATCGGCAAAGCTTTACTTATCAGCCAGAATACTGTAGCAAAAGTGAAAATTTAACAAAGATGAAACTGCAACGATCTCACAGAGACATCCAGGTTGTCCACGGAAGTTAAAACCTCAGTAGGAGCGTTTTCTGATGAGGGCTGAAGAAAATCGCCATGCAAGTTCACTGCAGTTAGCTAAAGAAGTAGAAAGCCAAACTGGGGTGATTGTTTCCCATGACACAATATGGCATACACTGCAGAGGAATGGCATGCATGGGTGTCCTCCCATGAAGGAATCCTCTCCAAAAGCCCATGCACAAAAAATCCTGCCTAGAATTTGGCCCATGCTGAAAAAGACTACTGCGGCTCTGTACTCTGGAGTGATGAGACCAAGATAAATATTTTTGGAACTGATGGCTTCAAAACTGTATGGCGTTGCAAAGGTAAGGAGTACAAAGGAAAATGCATGGTGCCTACAGTGAAACATGGTGGCGGCAGTGTCCTTCTGTGGGGCTGCATGAGTGCTGCTGGTGTCAGGGAGATGCATTTCATTGATGGTATCATGAATTCACAGATGTACTGCTCTATATTGAAAGAGAAGATGTTAGCATCACTCTGTTTTCTTGGTCGTCGTGCACTTTTCCAACATGACAATGATCCAAAACACACATCTAAGGCCACTGTTGCATTTCTCTGAAGAACAGGGTGAAAGTGATTCAGTGGCCAAGTATGTCTCCTGATCTGAACACCTATGGGGGATTATGAAGAGACAAGTTGAGCATCACTCTCCATCCAGCATCCCGGCTCTAAAAGAGGTCGTTCTTGAAGAATGGAAAAAGATCGATGTTGCAATATGTAGCCAACTTGTTCATTTCATGCCTAGAAGACTTGGTGCTCTCCTTACAAATCATGGAGGTCATACAAAATACTAGATGTAGTAGTTTTTTGTTGTGGGGTGTATTCACTTTTTGCATCAACTAATTTGAGTAAAACTAAAGATTTTGTAATCTAAGCTATATTATTAACCTTACTTTCATGAAATGAGCTAAACAAAAGATCTAAAAAAAAATTACGCTTTGACAAAGTATTGTAAATTGTTCTTGGGTTCATTGAGATATTGATTAGAATCTTACTTTTCAAAAGGGATGTATGCATTGTATGCTGAGCAGTGTATATGACTAGCACTAAAAATCCAGGAATTTTATTAATTTACCTCCAGTCCACCAGCCCCCAGCTTCTCTGAGTTCAGATGCTGATCTTCCCTGCATGGTGCCTACAGTGAAACATGGTGGCGGCAGTGTCCTTCTGTGGGGCTGCATGAGTGCTGCTGGTGTCAGGGAGATGGATTTCATTGATGGTATCATGAATTCACAGATGTACTGCTCTTAATTGAAAGAAAAGATGTTACCATCACTCCGTTTTCTTGGTCGTCGTGCACTTTTCCAACATGACAATGATCCAAAACACACATCTAAGGCCACTGTTGCATTTCTGAAGAACAGGGTGAAAGTGATTCAGTGGCCAAGTATGCCTCCTGATCTGAACCCAACCGAACACCTATGGGGAATTCTGAAGAGACAAGTTGAGCATCACTCTCCAT